GACCGGCACGGTGAAGTTCGGTGACGGCTCAAGGGTGGCGATCCGAGGGCACGGCACCATCATCTTCAGATGCTAGAACGGCGGCACCGCGCGCTGACGGATGTATATTACATCCCGCAGCTGCGTTCAAGTATCATTAGCATTGACCAGCTGGATGAGCGCGGCAGCGAGGTACTGATCAAGGACGACATCCTCAGGATTAGGGACCGGGAGCAGCGGCTTCTTGCCAAGGTGAAAAGGTCCTGAAACCGGCTGTACCTGCTCGACTTGAAGGTAGAGCAGCCCATTTGCTTGGCTACACGGCACACGGAGGAGCCGTGGCTGTGGCATGCCCGGTATGGCCATCTTAGCTTCGACGGTCTTGATCGGCTGGAGAAGATGGTGACTGGGCTGCCTCATATCGAGCACGCAGGTGAGCTGTGTGACAGCTGCCTGGTCGGAAAGCAAAGAAGGTTGTCGTTCCCGAAGACGGTGAAGTACCGCACGACAGAGGCCCTCGAGCTGGTCCATGGTGACCTCTGTGGGCCGATCACGTCGGTGACGCACGACGGGCGCAAGTACTTCATCCTGTTGATGGATGACTGCATCCAGTTCATGTGGCTGCAGCTTCTGACCAGCAAGACCGAGGCAGCGGAAGCAGTCAAGAAGTTCAAGGCGCGCGTGGAGGCGGAGAGCGGCAAGAAGTTGCGCGTGCTGCGAACTGATCGCGGCGACGAATTCACTTCGGTGGAGTTCGTTGCGTACTGCGCGAATCAGGGTGTGGTGTGACACCACACCGCGCCGTACTCGCCACAGCAGAATGGCGTGGTGGAGCGGCGGAACTAGACGGTGGTCGGCATGGCTCGATCCATGATGAAGGCCAAAAGCATGCCGACAAAGTTCTGGGGAGAGGCGATGACCACAGCGATGTTCATCCTCAATCGTGCGCCTACCAAGGCCCAGAAGGGCAAGACGTCGTTCGAGGCTTGGCATGGACACAAGCCGAATGTGTCCTTCCTTAGGACATTTGGCCGCGTCGGCCATGTGAAGAACACCAAGCCTCACCTCGGCAAGCTGGAAGACAGGAGCATGCCGATGGTGCTCCTGGGCTACGAGGAGGGCACCAAGGCGCATCGCTCTATAATCCCAAGAGAGGCAAGGTGGTGATCTCTAGGGATGTGGTGATCCCAAGCGATGCCGACCACTCCGACAGTGGTGCCGAGCGGTCTAGTAGTGATGTCGACCACTCCGACAGAACAGGGAGGCCATGGACCACCGATCGAGTTCCCCTCTCCACCCACCGACATCGACGAGTACGTGGACGCTTTCCACGACGAGGAGGTCCGGTTCAGGCGGGTGGACATCGTTGGCGAAGGGGGAGCTCCTAGGTTGGCTAGTTGTTTTCTCGACGACCTAGAGCTGCTCCTTGTTAGTGTTGAGGAGCCACCGACGTTTGCAGTGGCTGAATGCGACGACAATTGGCGTCGGGCGATGTTGGAAGAGATGAAGGCCATCAAGGACAATGGGACGTAGGAGCTGGTGGATCCACCGGTGGGTTGCAGGCCGATCGGGTTGAAGTGGGTCTACAAGGTGAAGCGGGACGAGCGCGGCGCCATTGTCAAGTACAAGGCTCGGCTCGTCGCCCGTGGCTTCGTGCAGCGTGAGGGCATCGACTTCGAGGAAGTCTTTGCTCAGGTGGCACGAATGGAGTCCGTTCGCTTACTGTTGGCCATGTCAGCAGCAAAGGATTGGCGCGTCCACCACCTCGACGTCAAGTCTACGTTCCTCAACGGCGAGCTCGCGTAGACGGTCTTCGCCAAGCAAGCTCTGGGCTTTGTCGTTAAGGGCGCTGAGCACAAGATGCTCAAGCTGCGCAAGGCGCTCTAGGGCTGCAGCAGGCCCCTCGGGCGTGGAACGCCAATCTCGACGCCACCTAGGGCGAGCTTGGGTTCACTCACGCGCGCCATAGAGCACGCGCTGTACACGCGACGATGGGGGAAGAAGGAGCTCGTCGTCAGCGTGTATGTGGACGACTTGATCGTAACTGGAGCGCGGGCGGAGGACATCGACGGCTTCAAGCGCGAGATGGCTGCTCGTTTCAAAATGAGCGATCTCGGCGAGCTCTCCTACTACCTCGGCATTGAGGTGAGGCAGGGGAAGGAGCACATCTCCCTGGCCCAGCGTGCCTATGCGGAGAAGCTGCTGGAGCGCAGCGACATGGCGGAGTGCAAGCCGTGCACAACTCCAATGGAAGAGCGGCTGAAGCTATCCAAGCACAGCATGGTGACGAAGGTGGACGCGACGCGCTACCGGAGCATCGTCGGCGGGCTGCGCTACCTCACGCATACTCAACCGGACATCACGTTCGCGGTCGGGTATGTCAGTCGCTTCATGGAGGACCCACGCGAGGATCACTAGACGGCGGTAAAGAGGCTGCGCTACGTCAAGGGGATGCTCGATCAAGAGATCATCTTCCCCAAGAGCGACGGCAAGGGTGGGATGCGGCTCACGGTCTTCAGTAAGGCACCCCCAAAGGCAAAGGAAGGTGAGCCGAGCTCACTGTTTTCAGCGATGCAGACATGGCGGGCGACATCGACAAGCGACGGAGCACCTCCGATGTGCTCATCTTCCTTGGAGCGACCCCCTTTGCTTAGCAGTCACTGAAGCAAAAGATCGTGGCGCTGTCAACGTGCGAGGAAGAGTACGTCGTAGTAGCCACGACGGCGTGCAAAGGTGTCTGTTCTGCTGCGCTGCCGGCCGGGCGGGCGGTGACCGACGAGGAAGCTCACCGCCGCCACTCGATAGTGGACAACCACCCGCCATCGCCCTCGCCAAGAACCCTGTCCTCCACGACCGGAGCAAGCACATTGACATCAAGTTCCACTTCCTCCGGGACTGCATCGATGGAGGGCAGATCGTCATCGAGTTCGTCGAGACCGACAGACAGCTCGCTGACATCCTCACCAAGTCACTCGGGCGCCTACGGTTCATGGAGCTGAGGAAGATGATTGACATGGATGAGGTCAAGGCATCGGGTTAGCAGCAGGATTAGGGCAAGAATTGTAAGACATAATCTGTTGCTGATCTCTCTCTCTCTTGCTGCAGCAGAGTTAGCATTTGGTCAGCTCGGCTGTCCAGTCTCTACTGCTGTAGCAATATGGCAATAGGCCACCTCTAGTACATTAGTTGGTAGCTATTACATCAGCCATGTCTTGGTAGTGGACTGATCTAAGCTTTGTACTGCTAGTACTAGGAATAGTTGGTGTACCTTAAGAGTAGGTAGTTGGTGTACTCATCAACAACTATGTACCTGGTAGATGTACTAGCACTTGTATATATATCACACTTAAGGCAATGCAAAAGAGCAGTTCAGTTTGCCACGTCCAGAAGCAGAGCTTTCGGCCAGCGCTGGGCTTGTGTTGTGTGTGTGTGAGCTGTTCTCAATATCTTCTTCTACCTCTAGCCATAGTGAGTGAGTGTGCTGGTAAGTTTACTGCTTACCTGTGCAGGACAGCCGAGGGACCAACAGAACTTACCTTTAAAGGCCATTTGAGTAGTTTTCATAGGTTTACCCATCTTCATTTTCTAAATCTAGACATGCTAAATGACACAAATCTACTTCTGCAGCACTGCAGCGACAATATAAATTACGAGTCATTACCACATCCATCAATGATCAATCCTTGTAAGAAACATGGATATAACTAGTTGAACAAGTGATTTTTTGAAATCTCTTTGTTATAGGGGAAAATAAGGAAACAAACAAAACATCAAATGATCTTGTATATATCCATCTTTTTCCATATAAAACACATTCATCTTGTAAAGAAAATCAATAGATCATTTTTAGCTGTCCAGTGTCAACAATCTGTCCTCTGTTAGCACATCCAATGGCACAATGTTATTCAAGCATCAGGTCTGTCAAACATAGCACGAACTACCTATAACAAGGTCCAATAAAGAGAGGAAACAAACTTAGCTGTCCCTTTCATTACCAGATTTCACATATAGGACAATTGGATAAATCACCACACTGGATTATTGATCATGTTGGATAAATCACCACACTGAGACATTGATCATGGATGAAAAATACAGCCGATTGCATGGAAGCATTAGGGAAAGACATAGAGAACCCTCAATGGAATATTCAATCTATAACAGTCCATGTATGATTAACTGAACACCTTAACGAGGCCCAATAAATGCAGTGACCTCAAAGGCAAGTCATTATGTGCAAAATCAGTTCAAATAACTTCAGAAAACTACCAGGGCTAATGCATAAATTAAGTAGTTACAGGAAACAGAATGGCTAGAGCGATTGAACAGCAATCCACTTTTCTGAAAACTGGTTGGCACTTAAAAACCGTATGGGTTAGGAGGTCTCAATTGATAACACTATACAAGGGAATGAAACACCAGTGAATGAAATCCAATAAGGTCTTAATATCATCAGAACATTTTGGTTATTATCATGTTTCAGTCACTGTTTGTAATTGCCCTATTGGCTATTTCACAGGGCAAACCAGAATTTCGATATCATCCTAGGAACTTCCACAAGTGTGAAATCATATTTTAGAAGAGCTATAAACAGTGGATAATATACAGAAATACCAACGATGAATATATATATTTTAGCTATGATGGTTGACTGCATTCCAGCAACCTGGTTAAAAAAACCATTGACCCAACAATATCCTTTTACCCCCTGCACTGATCAATTGAAAGTTGAAACGAGGCACAAAAGAACAAAAGGTTTCAATAAGGATTCTAGCAACCTGCGTGCCATCAGAAGAAAAGCAATGCAACTCAATTGCCAAGGAGGGATATCCTGATATTGAGAAATTCACATACAGATTCGCTCATCCATTAGCATTCAGAGCAATGTACTGCTACACATCATCACATATGCATCCATCTAAATGATACCAAGCCTGAAACCAATACTATAGCATCTAGATGCCAACGTAGTACTGATCCAATTGAGCACAATACCAAGATCTGAACCACAGGAGGGCTACCTATTGCTTGAAGGTGTAGGGCTGGGGTAGCGAGATGGGGCCCCGGCGGTCTTCATCGCCATCGAGCAGCCTCTGCACCCGCTTCTTGGCACAGTACTGCCGGTCGAAGTGCTTCACCTGCGGATTACCCAATTCAACCAATTGCAGCGAAGAGAGAGCATGAAACGCGCAGAATCGTGCAGGGCTAAGCGCAGACGGCGGCGAGGCGGACCAGAGGGCGCTTACCCAGGTGGGACGGCAGTTGCTGACGAAGTTGGCGCGGGATTTCTTGCAGTCGGCGGGGTAGAGGAGCCCCACGGTGGCGATCTCGGTGGGCTTCTTGTCCGCGTGCTTCTCTACGCACGCGTAGAAGGCATCCCGTGCCTGCGGAGAAGGCCCGTCAGTAGCGGAAAGCCGGAGGGGGAGGAGAGGGCTTAGGGGGCGGAGGAGCGCAGGAACGTCGCTGAGGGCTGTACCTTGTAGCAGGCCTCGCGGCCCTTGGCGAGGACGTCGGGCATGACGGATCCGTCGGAGTTGTGGAAGTCGGCGTCGGCGTCCGCGGCGGTGGACATCGTCAGCTGCGGAGACGTGCGGGGGATTTGTTTGGGGGCTTTCGCTTGCTGAAGGGGAAAGGACACAGATGGGCCGGCCCGAGGTGAATACGGGTCTGATACCATGTGGGCTCGGCTTCGGGGATCGTCCATGCAAGCCCGTCATAAACGCCTGCCGGGCCGTCAAATAATTCATCGGCACGCCCGCACGGGCGCCAGACCCACCAGCCCAGTCAGCTGGGCTGGCAGAGCAGAACAGTGACCTTAAATGATCTTTTTAATATATATAAGCTGAAATCATTATCTATTATAAATGATCTTTTTAATATATATAAGCTGAAATCATTATTTATTACCCTGGGGTAGGGTATGTAGTAGCGGATATATATGAAAAAAGTTAGGAGGGATTCTTCGTTTATCTTCCATCTTTCTGACCTCTCTTTTCAAATTTTCATACGTACAAATTTGTAGAATTTGTAGGTACTCCAGGCTTCGAGTACTGTGGCGGAGGCTTGAGCCCACCCTACCCCGATGCTAGATCCGCTCCTGAGGATATGTGTAATATAAGAACTAAGAAGCGGCTCCCTTGAAAAGTTTTCAAAACTCACTCCCAATCTTAGATTTTTTTGCAAGATTGAAAAAACGGCTCTCCAACAACTCTTATCTCAACTCCTATGCATTGGGAAAATGGACCCAAACACACAGAAATATACATGTGTTTATCATAGAAGGACATGTCAAAAAAAATAAGGAGTAGGACAGGTTCCCGATGTAAATACACAAGAGAGAAATACCGACGTCCATAGGAACAACATTTTCAAGGTTGATTATATGCAAGCGCATACCCTAGAACAATAGATGGCCAACAACGAATGCGGGTTCTATGTGATGTGGAAAATGGACTAGTACCTTGGTGAGAGCACAACGGAAGGAAATAAAATGGTTTGCATGCTTTCCATTTCATATATGTCGGTTAATTCAACAAACCATATTACTGTTTTGGCTAACACTTGTGTATTTTGATATATCATCTTGCTTCAACGACAGCACGAGAAACTTAAAACCCATTCAAAAGCTGTTAGACTTCGAGATCAAAGGATTCCAAGACGAGCTAGCAGCTTTCATCATGGACGAGGTCGTGACTAAAAAAAGGATCTTTCAGTGTTATGCTGGCAAAGAAAAATAGTGTAGAACATAAGAGGAAGTGTCAAAAATGGAGAAAATGGTGTTGTAACATATATCTACATTTTCATTGTAACATATACATTGTTGTAACATTTGTATTATAAATCTTGATGGTTTTGTGACGTATGTGATGCTTTAAATATCCAGTCCAGTAACCATAGGAAATAAAAAAGTACTACATAAAAATAATAAAATATAAAATAAATTAATAAATAGGGATATAGGAAATCATATCACTGCCGGTCTGTCGGGTCTATATATAAAGTCAGCAGTGATTATAGGGATATCATTGCTAGTTGCAAATCTAGCTAGCAGTGTTACAAAAACAGCACTTCGGTTCTAGTCCTAACCTAGTAGTGGGCTTGAGGATATCACTGTCTGGCAGTGATGTAGGGCAACCTGCGGTTTGATAGGAAAACCCTGTCACGTGCCCGTTGTCGATTCAATTTCTGATAGTGATAGGGGGTTTAGAGCCGGCAGCAATAGCCTGTTCTGAGCTGGTGAATGAACATTTAAACTAGATACAAGGCTAAAGCACAGGATTCCTAACAGAAACATTAAAATCTAGATAGAAAATGAACACCTGAACTAGCTACAAGCACATGATTCCCTTCCCTGACATATAAACATTGACACCGCATGAGTTTTTTAAGGGTCCGTTTGGTACGGATTTAGATTCTTGTAGAAATGTTTCGGATCGCTCACGCCGGGGAAGAACTCTCTCGCGGCCGCCAGGGAGGAACTCCCTCACCCGCGCCGCCAGGGAGGACCTCCCTCGCCCATGCATCCCTGCCGGGAAGGAGGTCCCTCGCGGCCTCGCCCATGCCACTGGGAGGAGTCTCACTACCAGAGCAGAGGTTTTTTCTGACGGCTAAAAACCGTCAGGAAAGGCCTGAAAACCGTCAGGAATAATATTCCTGATGGCCAGTCGTCAGGAAACGCCCAACAGGAACAGCGCGACAGGAATAACCTGGCAATTCTAGATGCTCATACATCCACTCACAAGCCACATTACACAAGTTAACACAAAGTGATCCTGAAACTAGTAATTCATTACAAACTCACATGTCCCATATCCAAATATATAGATCTGTACAGATTAGTAAGATAGGAATACAGAGCTCTTATACACTATTGGTTTAGAGCAGCATGCAAGTACTACACAACAGGTCCAGATACTAAATAGAGTGGATAGGAACATGTGGACTGCACAAAAGAAAAGTCCTTGCTTGGAGTTGATATCACTGAACAGCATGGAGTGACCCAATGACCTACAAGGAGTAGAGTTATAGATTATGCACTCTCCAAAAATGAGAAATTATCTTAACTAGTACAAGACAGCCAGATCAGATTTTTAAAGCAACAAGCATTGGTTCAAATTCTTAGCAGTGTTTGGTGCAAATTAGAGACAAATAGGAACATACAACATGAGGGAGGGTATGTGCACTTGCAGTTCCAAGTTATCTACTACATAATGTATTTGAAATAATGGAAAATGGAAAGAAATTTTGAGGAATTGCATGTAGCAAGAGATAACTATTTCTGAAATGCACCAAGAGACATTGTGTCAATCAGACAAAACTTATGACTGGAATAAGAAAAACAATTGCACAAAAAAGTGGCATCTTCACCTTAGGCAGAGCAATCCAGTTTTTTTTTGTTATGAACTTTTCCTTCAGTAGATGCTGGCTCCAATTTCTCAAACATCTACACATGGACAAAAATCATAAGTTTCTTACACTGTTTTGTGTACAGGCACCAAATTTCAGTAAAAAGAATGCAGTATTTAGTCAATGTACTAGACAAACAAGTTCACAAAATTGCATATACTGAGCGCCTGCTATACTCATAGCTCCACTCTCTACCACCAAGTTACTGTAAAAAGAAAATTGTTTTCAGTAAGAATGGTTTATATTGTTTCCCAGCTCATGGCGAAGAAGACTCTAGGAGCAGAACTGATCAGCTTGGTGGCATGGATGTATGTCTTGTAAAATTTCACCAAGAACTAGATGCTATGTGTTCACAAAAAAAAAAGAACTAGATGCTATGAATTTCATACTAACCACTTGTTCATCTAGACAATTTATTAAATTTGCAAAGATTGCAGCAACATGTACAGAACAAAATCGGACAAATGCATAGTAAGGTACTGCATCTACTCACTTGGTGTTGCACAAGCATTTGCTGCCTGCAGGTTTAAGCTTGTTGTGGACGTTCTCGACTGGGAAAGATTCCCCTCCCACTTGTATTGTTTTCAGTAAGAATGGTTTTAGCTTGTTCTGGAGCAGAACTCAGGCTATGGGGAAAAACTAGATGTATGTGAACCTCCAGCTCCTTGTTCAGAATCTTCTGTGGAACCTACCACGAGTACATGAAACTCTGTTAAATGTGCAGATAGTTTAGATTTCTAAACTGACGAGATTAGCAAGGAAATGCACATTGATTGACATTCCAATGGGATATTAGAATCTTAGCCCTGTTTCTACTTATCCACACTAAACCACAACCTGATGAGAAGTAATCTGTAACCCAATCAACTCAAATGCCCTGTTTCTAAGATAAAGATATGTTTGTACATAATTGTAGCAGGTCACTCCTTTTTTTCCTTGTTTAAATTGATCAGATATAACTTAATTTTAAACCTGCTCGCTTGGTGTTTCACAAGCATTTATTGCCTGCAGGATGGCTTCACTATTATTAATTTTATACCTCTAGCTGAAATTGCACACACTGTTTAGACATATACAGCAGGTTAACAAGTATCCTGGTCACACTAAAGGAATAGCTAAGCAATGTACTGAAAAAATACCTTATCTGAATTTTTTTAGACCAAATACCTCATCTAATTTTTTTAGACGAAATACCTTATCTGAATGAACTTAGATAATACATATATAACCTGCCCCAAACCTATCGCTCGAGAAACACATGCTTCAACAGTTATGAAAATCCATCTTTGCACTAGAGCATTGGAGAAAACAGGTTACGTGTGTGCGCATCAGACAAACCTGAGGTGTCCTGGGCTGCTGTCCTAGAACTCAGCGACCACACATGCTGTGCCATTGTCACCGTGGAAGCCCACAGCCGTCCGTCTTCACGAGGAAGTGTCCCTTGTGTGCACATGGTGCCGCAACCATGACCGTGGTCCCTTGATTGAAGAAACATATGCTTCAACAGCTACGTATATCCATCTTTGCACTAGAGCATTTGAACACACACTTATCACAATGTATTTGAAGAAACATGATAAAATTCTATACCAGTCTAAATATGACTCCTACACATGATCATGCAATGACAGGAATAAGAAAAACAATTGCACAAAAAGTGGCATCTTCACCTTAGATAGATGCTGGCTCCAATTTTTCAAACAACTACACGATGTACAAAAATGATTAAGTTTCTTACACTGTTTTATGTACAGGCACCAAATTTTAGTAAAAAGAATGCAATATTTAGGAATCGCATTGCTCACACACATTGATCAGAGATTCAGAGTCACATAAATTCCCTAACTTGTCCTGCTCACGTACATTGACTAGAGAACATTCTATTGTCTAGCAAAACTGGAAAAATCAGAGACCCTTCCTGATTTTGCTTGTAAGTTGTGTGTGGTACCAAGACTTTCAGGTAGGAACAGAAAGTTGTTCTTTCATGGCACAATACTCCTACACATCAATCAACCATCTGTTCTTTCATGGAACAAGAAAGTTGTTGTCGTTCATGGCAAAAATATATTGCTACTAAATTCAACAACAAATCAATATGTGTATAAAGTTTTGACTTGCATATGCCAATGCTCCAACAATTCAACAAAAAAGGTTCGCTGCATCTAA